TTTTTTTTTTTTTTTTTTTTTTTTTTTTTTTTTTTGGTACCAGGGATCGAACTCAGGACCTTGAACCTGTGAGGCAGGCAGCAGCACTGCTGAACTAAATCCCTGGCCCCCAAAAACACTTTTCAAAGCAAAAATTAAAGGTTTCTCCAGTGAAGTAAAATGTCAATAATCTTTTGTGCTCTGAAGAAACCCTAAAAAGCAGCAGCACGTAAGTATGGTTAGCTCACAAATGCCCATGCCTCGGCCACAACAGACCTCAGCTTGTCAGAGAAACTGACGGTTCCCAGCGCAGCTCTCTGACAGGTAAGAATTGAGGCAGTGAGCAGGAGGAATGCAGCCCAGGGCTGCCAAGGTCTTTTGTGCGGTGAAACAAGGGTATCCAATGGAGGGGCTCTCCTTACAGAATCTAAGCTGGTCCTGGTTAAAAGAAGGTCATGCCCAGCATCCTTGATGACTCCCTCCATCACTTCAACACACACCACACAGGCTTTAAAGACAGGAAAGCAGTTATGCATTAATGGATCACTCTTATACATTAATGCCAACACAGTCACGTTAGCAAAAAGGATGATGAAGTGTAAATTTTTCTTTCGTTAATGGTTAAGATTAGGGATCAACTTATTTCCTACAAATGAAACATAATCCATGTCATCTGATGCAGTTTTAACTATCTTAAAAGGCCATGAAAGAAAAAAGTAACCCAAGTCCGTTATTTGGAATATAAATAAACATCTACATAAATATTCCATTATTCTATGTAGAATTGACCTATTTTTCAAATAAGTAATTTAACTACTTGCAAAGTTACCATTTTAAGCAATAAAAGGCAAAGACAAAGGGATCCCCCTGAGCTGTACACTAAAAATAAGTTGGTAAGTTTCATGTGTATTTTACCATAATTAAAAAATGTTTAGTGCTGATACCTTGTTGATTAAAAGAACATGCAACTGGGCCGGGGATTTAGCTCAGCAGTTTGGTGGCCTGCCTTGCAAGTGCAAGGACCCGAGTTCGATCCCGGGTACCAAAAAAAAAAAGAACATGCAACTAAGTGATCAGATTACTTCTATAAGGAAAAACTTACTTCTCTTTTATATCCTGACATTCAGGGGCTCAGTATCAGATCCCTACATCTGCAAACAGAGAAGCAAATCGAGATCCAATGTAGTACTTAAGTACCTCCTGCTCCCCAAGTTTAGATAGAGTCAGGGGAGAGAATTATTCAAGGAGTTATAAAAAGAAACACCAGTGGGAGAACCACTGTTTTTTATTTTTCAATTTTTGGTGCATTTAATGGAATATATTGATCATATAAGCCAAGTAATTTCTGAAGAAGTTGGAACAGCCTCCCAACCACCAACTTTGTGGTTGTCTCTCTCTCCTTCCCTCACTTAGAATCATCCTAACTCCCTAGCGTGCCCTCACCATGTAACAACAAGGACACCATAATCTCACGCCGAGCCTGACCATGTTAGGATTGCACCAGAGGTTGCTAAAGCCATCTGGGCATGAACTCCAGAGCTGAGGTCCCCTGATCGAGCCCACACCCCTCTACAGAAGCAGGGGTGTCCTCTCTCCTGCAGGCTGCTCCTTCTGGAAGAGCACTTTGATCTGGGTTAATCGGCCATAAAGCCTTTCTCTCAGTGGGGGGATGTGGTAGCTGGGATCCAGAATGTTCGTTACTCGGCGCTCTCTCTCTTGCTTCCACAACTTGTACGGGTGAGGAGGGAAAAGCGGCCGCCCTCTTTCTCTTCGTACCTGTAATGTAATTCCGCTTACAGCCAGCATCCCCCATACTGCCAGGATAATAAAGTCTAAAAAACAGCACAGAAGAATCACTGAAACTTTTGTATTTTAAAATCTAACATACACAACCAGGGAATGAGTGAGAAAGCTACAGTCTTATTTTTGAAACTATAGATTTTCTATTACAGGCATCCAGAAGTCTAAACCAGTCATTAAAGAACAGATTGTTTGCTGGGGACTGGGGGAAGAGGGGGGGAACCTGGTTGCAGTCACATGATGTGTGCATCGTGGAGCACTAGACCCTGCCGTGCTCACTTCCTATCCCATTCTACCCCATAGGGGCCCAACCCTATTTGCACAGAGAACACGGGGATGCATGAGCAAGTTCTACAGATCATACTGAGTTTCTAATAAATGCTTTGCTTGCATTTAAGAATTCCAGGACACATGGATTTCAAGGTCTCCACCATCACATCCTCTTTAAAGAAAAAGCTCTGGATAGTACAGGGAAAATTTTGCCCTAAAAAACTCAGCAATCACAGTAGCACTTCTTTAGGATATTCTCAGTTCTTCTAAGACACGCTTTTCCACTCTTCATATCTTAAGATTTCTGAAATCAACCTAATTTACAAACTTCATGAACATTTATTATGCCAATCATTTTTTTTTTTCTCTTTAAAAAGTCAGTGGAAAAAATCTTTTTCTTTTTTTCTTTTTTGGTACCAGGGATTGACCTTGGGACCTTGTGCTTGGGAGGCAGGCAGGCAGCAGAACCACTGAGCTAAATCCCCGGCCTAATGGAAAATCTTTAATGGATAATATCTTACAACCCAGGAAACAATTTAGGTGCTAACTGAAAATCACTTTCACTTTCAGCTACTAAATTGCCTGCTTCATTAAAGAAGGGAAACAAGACTGAAATGACTTAAAACTTAAATCAGGTCGTCATAATCATAACTGTTATTCCTCACTTCCTCCCCACCTCCCCACCTCCTCACCTGCCCACCCATGGAATGTCAAACATCTTCACTGTCATTTCATTTCCTATTTGAGAACTGACTTATAAACCAGAGTAACCCAGGATTAGAAATTTCTTTCTTTCCTTTTTTTTTTTTGTTTTTTTGAGACAGGGTCTCACTATGTAGTTGAGACTGACCTGGAACTCACTATGTGGCCCAGGCTGGTCTCGAACTCACAGCAATGCTCCTGCCTCAGCCTCCCGAGTGCTGGGATTACAGGCGTGCACCACCATGCCTGGCCTAGAAATTTCTTAACCAAGTTCATTTAGTAGACTCTTAAAAGTCTGACTCAAACATTTGCACCCTTAGCTCACATGGGCATCTTATGGCATTTGTATAGTGTTTCCTCCTTTCTAAGACACCTCAGTTGCCTTTTTTTTTTTTTTTTTTGAGTGCTCTTGGTAACATGGAAAAGTCAATACTCCTATTTGACCATTACCCTTGTTTTGAATTATAAGAGTCTTACCATTAGTTTGAAAAGGCACATTTGTGAAAGCTCTGCGGAAATCTGTGCTGAGTGCTCTCCTGAGAACGTTCAGAGTGATGTAAGAAAGGCTTGTGTGCTTGTAGCTGTCAATGGCCAAAACCATCAAGTAGGAGCCAACAACTCCGCAGGTCAAGATGTTGAGCTGTGGGAGAGTGGCGAAGCTGGGACATCATCAGGGTAGAAAAGGAACAGTTTTCTAACTCTCCCAAGCACAGGGGATCACTTCTGATCCCGCAGGGCACATGAAAAGGGACTACATCTTAGCAGCCGATAAAGGTGACCTGACAAGATAAACTAAAACCACTTCCAACTTTCACAGCCATGGGGAATTCTTAAAACAGAGTTTATCTGCATAATGTACAGGTCTGTCTGTTTCAATGAATGACGGACAGAATATATGCTTGTCCCATAAGGTTCTATCCAGGACCTAGCAGCCCTGTGGCTCTGTTTGTGACGTATACTCTGGGGGGTTTGCTCTGTGCTGCTGATGCAGGTCTCAGAATGCAGCCCTGTTGCTTAGCAATGCATGATTACACTCTACCACAGAAAACAATCTTGCCTGAAAAGAACTTCAATCTTATTATATGAAGACACATGCTAGAGAGACAGTTAGAGCTGATGCTCTCTGAGACTGGTGCCCTGGAGATAAGACTGCCTTCTGCACCCCATGGCTGAACCATGTTGACATGTGATTCTCTGTCTGGGGAAGCGGGGACAGTATGCTAATGTTATGTAGAACTTCTTTGCTTTCACATAGCAGCAAAGTTATTTGGAGCAGTTACCTGATGTAGTTAATCACGCAGCCCTCTCTAGTGAATAAAACGTGCAAAATGATGCAATGAGCAATCAGCTAAAGGTCCAGGACAATGTAGTGAATAAAGCGAACTTTTTGTGAAACACTTACTATTCTTAGGCAGCCCAAGAAAACCACTGGAATGAACACAGTGACACAAGAGAAAGTCACCCAAAACACACCATCATCACGAAAGACCTTTAGGTTTCCTGCAAAAGCAAAGAGAGGAGTAAACGACACGTTTACTGAGTTAAATTTCATTTTCTCAATATCCGAACATAGATATACAACTGAAAGTTTAAAGTAACAACCAGGGAATATGTTTTGTTTGGTACCGGGGATGGAATCCGGGACCTTTCATGTATGAGGCAGGCAGCGGAAACACTGAGCTAAGTCCCTGGCCCCCACCACCAGGGAAAATGTGGGCAACTACAAATAAACTCTAACTTTTTATATTTAAGTGTGATTACAACTCCCTTTGAAGGATGTATTTTAAAAGATGTGGGGATGAGAGGACCACAGAGGTGAATGCTCTGCCCTTAGTAATAGGGTAATTTAGAAAAGGCTCCAAGAGTCCAGCTCTTCTATGACCCTAACCTATAAGTGGAGAAGAATGAATTATGTCATCTCTAAGCTCTAAATCATCCCTCCTAGCCCTAAATATCTGTGATTTCCTGTTTTTAAACTAGAGAAACAACAAAAACCCACAAGCAAAGACACTCAAAGTTAAGCTGTGAACCTGATATGAGTGGCAAAGTCCCCTTAACAGGTTTTTACAATAGACCCACACCCTGCCGAGCCACTGCACACAGGGACAGCAGAAGATACCTGCTTCTACCAAACCCTTCTCCTGCCGCCCAACTCCAACATGCACATCTCAGGGTGACCAGAACCAGCACATGAAAACTCCTCTTTTAAAATGATGTCTAAAAAGCAAGAGCTGCGTGTCATGGCGTGCACCTGTAGTCCCAGATACTTGGGAGGCTGAGGCAGGAGGATCAAGTGAGCTCAGAAATGCAGGGCCCCTGTGGCAACATAGCAGAGTCTTTAAAAAAACAAAAAAAAAGCAAGAATATAAACCTGACTACTCAATACCGAGGCTGGCACTACTGTTCTTCTCTAGGTGGTTCTGTATCTGGAGACCACATATTCTGGGCAGGGGATTTGACTTTAGGGCCCCAAATTCACTGAAGGCCGGTTGCAGTAGGTGCCTGTGAAGAAAATTTATGGATTGTATTCCGAAGTTTAACTATATTAACCTTCAAAGAATACACGTGGTTTTTTAAAAAAGAATTCCTTCAAGGAATCTAAGGGTTAAACATCGCAGTGATGATGCCTACAAAAGAAGGACAGATCTTCTCAGAGAATATTCTCTTTGCTGCGTGAAACAGAAATAATTTAATCAGACCTGAGAGGTCAGCCAAATGTTTTCAGACTTTAATTCTTTTTTTTTTTTTGGTACCAGGGATCGAACTCCGGCCCTTGTGCTTGCAGGGCAAGAAGCGAAAACACTGAGCTAAATCCCCAGCTTCAGACTTTAATTCTTAAAAACAGGAGTTTAAACTGAGGCAAAGTGGTGCACGCTTATAATCCTGGCTACTCAGGAGCCTGAGGCAGGAGGATTGTGTGTTTGAGACCAGTCTGGACAACTTAGCAAGACCTTGCCTCAAAACTAAACCCAAAACAAAAGACCAGAGAAGGTGTTTAGTGAGAAGGCCCTGAGTCCAATCCCCAGTTCAGAGAGAGAAAGTGTACATCAATTACTAGAAATCCAAATCCGACCTATCATCCCTCCCTCCTCTAAGCACTACCAAAAGCGGGGAAGCTGATTAAGCACACTGAGGGCCGGGCCTCCGATCTGCATTTTCTTTGCCGGTACTGGGGTCTGAAGACAGCACTCTGCGATACACCCAGCACAGAGGCCTCTGGGAGCGGAGGGCTTCTTCTTGGCATTGCTCTCTCTACAGATGCCACATGCCCAACGCCAATTTCCTTAACTCCTCAGAAGGCCAGCGTCCCAACGCCATTCCTGACAAGGCTGTGTGAGTCTAAAAAGCTCAAATCAAATCTTCCAAATAAGGAATCGACGCGCAGAAAATCTCACTGCCTACCCAGAGGAGTGAAGAAAACTGCTGCAGAGACGAGGAAGCCCAGCACGAGCCCAGCACACAGCAGGCACAGCCCGAGGGTCCCAAATCGCCACCAGATGGCCACCAGGAGAACTCCGCCGACGCTGCCAGCTGTGGCCGTCAGGATCAGCCGAACTGTACAAAGGGAGGCGACACACTAGTGACCAGAGGCACTTCGGAGCACGCTGCGGAGACACCACAGCATCACAGACCAGCCTCTGCCCTCCCTCGGGCAGCCCCCACGGGCGCTTCACCAGGGCCCAGGCTGGGCTTGAACTTTGCCTCGGCCTCCCAGAGTGCTGGGATTACAGACATTTTTATTGATGTCCATTTTATATCTCAATATATCACACAGGTGGACCACAGGTTTATAATCAACATGACCACTCGTTTCCCTAGTACCAAGAAATTCCCTGTGGAGATTAAAAGCCCAGAGGGGAAGGCCGGACGGCAGCTCAGGAAAGATGCGCTACAGGAGATATGCTACAGGCGGTGAGGTGTGTAGAGGCGCTCTAGGGGCCGTTCATAAGGGGCTGGGACAATCAAATGCTGGGGAGGGGCCCTGTAGAGACTGTGCCTGTTTGGTGCCTTCACAGAAGAATCAAACAAGGATATAAATGGGGACCCAGGATATACATGCTGCCCTGGAGTTAAAAATACAACAACTGTACCTTCTCCGAACACAGATGCTGCAGAAGCCAGCCTCCTTCAGGCCTGCCTCACCTGGCCAGTCACATGGCCGGTCAGGACCAGATACTCTGCCAGCGCGAATCCCTGATTTGCACGGAGGATCTAGACGGGAACCTCTGAGGGGAGTTTTCCCCATACTAGCTGAGCTGCCCCTTTTCCTTTGTCTGGAGGGCGGCCAACTGCCAGAGCTATGTCTCCCTTTTTGCTAGAGTGGAAGTCCCAGGAAAAGCCATGCCTGTGCTCTATTCCTCTGGCTCTGGTTTCATCTCTATTGTTTTTGGGCCCAAGAACCCAGCTCATGGGATATCACACACAGTACAGGTCAATCTGTGAAAGGAAAGGTGGAGCACAGACAGAGCAATGGGCTTGCTGCACCCGGTTAAACTACTGCTTTCACTTACCATCATACTTAATGAGGGTCAGTCTTGTAATCAGTACGTAAAAGAAGAATCCCAGGAAGATAAAGCCTATGAAGAATAATTCTGGTAGCAAACCAGCAGGAAAAGAAACAAACAAAACAAACTATGGTTAGGTACTCCTTTTGCAACGTAATTTAAGTACCTAACCTACAAATATGTGCTTTAGCTACTAGAATTTACATATTATGGCATTCAAAGGAGGAAAAATAACTATTTAAAAGGCAGACGATCTTTAGAATTCATTGAGAGTAATTTTACTATCAAATAGGTAAAATATTTAAAGTACAGTATTCACTACAGGACACACTGTCATGTAGGTAGGTCAGTTTCAGTTATTAAATGGTTAGCTGCTAATGTCGTAGCTCATTTTAATACATTTATATTTTCTACTTTAAAACAGTGCTTTTGTCATTTGTGTCTAATCTGAAATCACACACTAAATTGTGATAGCTACATAAGCAAAAATGAAAGGTAGGAGATTTTTTAAAAAGTATCCCAAAGCAAAGAATGATTTTTAAGTCATCTTGTATCTTAATCATTAAATACCTGAAAATACAAGACTACAGATAATTTGATTTCTCACAAATAAACCTAATCCTGATTACGGACAACACAGTTCTACACATTTCTTAAATTCTTCTCAGTTGTTACTAGTAATATTTATACTCAATTCTAATGCATGTAATATATATCAACATAAAAGAAAAAACAAAACAACTAGTAGTATATTGGATGTTACCAAAGCATAGAAATTAAATTTTTTTTTTTTTTAAAATTTAATTTTTTTTTTTTTTTTTTTTTTTTTTTTTTGGTACCAGAGATCAAACTCGGGTCCTTGTGCTTGCGAGGCAGGCAGCAGCACCACTGAGCTAAATCTCTGGCCCCAGCAATGAATTTCTTTATCATAGAATCATTCCACACTGTGAATAAATATTCCTCACAACACTATCTAAACAAGAATAAAGTGTCCTAATAGAGGGAAAGGAACTGGGGATGTAGCTCAGTGTTGCCCCACCTGCCTCGCAAGTGCAAGGTCCTGAGTTTGATCCCTGGTACCAAAAAATAAATAAATAAAAAGAGGGAAAGGACTTGCTATTTCTAAGACTTTGCTACAGCCATTTCAAAGAGCTTCATTAGATCAGGATCAAATTCACTCTACTGTGATGCTCAGTTATGTGCCTCAGGTAAGGACCTTTTAAGGTACAGATATTGACCCTTCAAGGACCTAGGTGTTTAACGACTGTTCCAACTTGTGCCCGAGGCATGCTGTTTGGACCTAAGATCCACTGTTTGGAAGTACAACCCCTCTTTTTTGTACAGTTCTGTGCATCTTGTTTATAGAGCCTCAATGTCTTTTTGTGGTACAGTATACCTTGTTTATATAGTACTGTAATTTTGCTGATTATACCACACAGTACAGTACTGTAGTTTTATGTTCTGTAAAACATTACAATACTGCATGTAACAATCATGCAAATAAAAGCAAAGTCATCAAGCTGGAATTTCCTCTGACCATTTCTTTATTCTGAATATTGTAATATACATAGTATACACAATTCCTCATTAAATGACCAATTCACTTAATGACTGAGTTGGGGAACTGTAACTTGGCTGTTAAACAAGGAACATCTGTAATTGAAAACATTACATAAGAGGCAGCCCACATATTGAAACTAATTCAGGGGGCATAGTTTATATTCCACTTTCCACCCACCCCATGTCTCACTCTGTGGATTCTGAAGTTCTGTTTGGCAGCTGGACCTCCAGGAGTGAACAGAAATTTCAGGCTCACTATGTACCATGGGCCCGGAGCCCAATTCATATGAAATCAAATCCATCATCATCACCAAACTCCACACCTCGCTTATCATTAGCCAACCAGTATCATCTAGTAACTGAAGAAGTTTGCCACACAAACCAAATTTTATTTCTCACTTAATAAGAGGAGGTTAGAGCCAGGCATCGTTGCTCACACCTGTAATCCCAGTACTCTGGGAGGCCGAAGTAGGATGATCACAAGTTCAAGCCCAGCCAGGGCAATTTAACAACTTAGTGAGATCCTGTCTCAAACACAACAACAAAAAACTTGAAAGGCTCAGTGTGAGGCACTGTATTCAATTCCCAGTACAAAAAAAAAATGGGGGCCGGGGACTTAGCACCTGCCTTGCAAGCGCAAGGACCGGAGTTCGGAGTTCGTTCGATCCCCGGTACCAAAACAAAAACAAAAAAAGGAATTTGCACTCTATTGTTGAGAGAAAGAAAAAAATTTAAATGTGGAGCAACTCAGTAGATATATCAAAAGAATTCAGTCACAAATCTATGAGGATAGTTGAGAGAAGTAAGCACTCTTTTGCTTCACAGATTTCTAAGTAATATATTCGCTGGCAGCGCACAAGACAAAAGACTACGAAGAGCTTAACTACCATCCACATCAAACATGGTACCTGTTTTCCAGAATCGGTGTCCAAAGAAACAAATGAAGAGACCAAGCAGGGCAAAAAGAGTGAAGAACACTTTGGTAGAAACTCTTCCTAAAAAACAATGAAAACTTAGTGGACAATACATGTAACTTGATACTTTGTATTTAATTCATGAAACATCACCAAAAAAGCAAAATGAAATGACACTGGTTTACTCCACACGTGTATAATTTAACCTTAGAACACTCTTGCCACCCCCTCATGAATTAATTCATGCAGGCAGTTAATGCCATTGTTTCTCAAAAATAGAACCTGGCTAGAAAATAAAGTCTAGGGCCGGGATTTAGCTCAGTGAATCTGCCGCCTGCTCACAAGCACAAGGACCCAAGTTCAACTCCTGCACGAACGA